CCTCGAGCGTGGTGGAAATTCGCGGTATTCCGGCCTAATTCCAAGAATTTCCGGAAAATTCTCGGAAATCGAGGCTCGACGACGGGCCCGATGACGTCATCTCACGCTCGACGACGAGCGGTTAGCATGGACGAGAACCGTCGATGGCTCTCGAGGTGTCGGTAACATGTCGGTGCAGGAATCTGTGTCCAGAACCGCCACTGTTATACTACTTAGGGCGTATAATAATAACTTCGTTCCTAATACGTTTAGATGTGAAGTTGCTGAAACATTATTAAAATTATTTAAGCCCATGCTTGAAATTTGCCAATATTGTTTCAGTGACAGAGATACCCCTCAAGTCATGTGCAATACGTGTCGACGTTGGGCACATCAATCATGTGTGTCTCGTATCTGTGGGAATAACACTGATTGGGCAGATCCAACGGTAAAATATAGATGTGCATTGTGCGGAAATGGATTTCGAGATTGGATGTGATATAAAAAGTCAAGATGTAGGTTACACCTTTCCTTAATTTTTGAATATAGTTTTCTAATTTCTTGTGTATAAAAATAATGACGATGATAAAAAATTCAAAAATATATCTTCCTTCAAAATTTCAGTTTCCGTGAATATCTTTAATGCTCACAAGTGGGAGCAGATTTTATTTCTCTAGGCAATTTTTGGCGTCTGCGCAGTGATCGAACTGGAGCGTGGACTGCTGGTGCTTTCATTTTTATGTTGTTTATTTCCCAAAAGCAAAGACGTATCCTACAGAATGACTAACTTAATTCTGATTGAACTTCCTTATTACCATAAAATAACGTAAGCGATATTTGTGCTCACATTAATGTTTTATTTCAAATATAAATCTAGGTAGATCAATTTTTCTTTAAAGCAACACAAGATAAGGTAAGTATAGGTGGTTGAAGTTCCCTGAACGAAATTTTTTATGTATTAAATACGTACATTGAATGTATCTCTGATGCAATTTCTTTTAAAATACAATCTTTAAAAAATTCGTTCATTGAATCTTGTACCTTTCAACCACAAGGTAAGTACATAAATTAAAATATATCTACTTCTGAGTTAAGTTTTGTTATAGCATAATTCTTTACTTTAACTTATTCACTAGTTGCGTGAAGTTACAATATGAATGCACAATATTATATATTGAACATACGGACGTACGAGATCCGTACATGAAGAAGGTGGATCGTCCTCGATCGATCCAATACCGTAGTGTAAATTTAGAATTAGATTTAGATTAACGAATAAATAATTTCTACCGCCCGAGAAGGACAATTTATTTATTTAGCGCTTAAGCCTCCCTTTCTTAATTTCGGCACGTACTCGATGAGTGGCAACTTGTCACTAGATTTCTTTAGTCCTTTCCAAGTTCCTTCTCGGAAGTACTTCTTTAGGAGTCCATCTTGCAGTCCCCACTTACACCTCCTTGACTGCAACGACTTCCCTTCTTACGCTCCTTTGCAACCAATCGGCTGCATTGCAAAATGCAGCCCATTTTTTTCTCTCGACCTATCCTCGGAGATCTTTCCAAAACTCCACCCACTCAAAACTTTCTCCGTTGTGATTGTGGAATCGTAGCAGCGATTTTCGATGAAGATCTCGATACTCCGAGATCTTCATCGAAAATCGCTGCTACGATTCCACAACCGAGGAGTTCTTTATATTCAAAAATTCTCTTCAGTCTTCTTCGAAATTTCACAGGGAACACAAGCTGAAGTCAGCACCCATTGGGCAAAAATTAATATAAAAAGTGCAGTGTCAAAAATCGCACCATAAACATTCTACGGAATAAAATGCCTGGTAAGTAACAAGGCTTCCTTTATACACGTATACTCAAATAAAATTTGGATGGATAAGGTACAATCAAATATTCGGACTCGAGCGCGTTTTCTTTCGGTATAAGACGTATCATCGTACGGTATTCATTCACAACAATTAACACTTTACTGACTGAAAGCCTACTAACCAGTTTTGTGATTCTCGTGATCGTCACTTATTTCCAAATTCGCCGGTTGGTAAAGTGTTAAGAAAAAATGTGTTCCAGAACGTTGTATTACGTCTAACTTGCATATTATGAGCCGTTTATTTTGAAAGTGGCGTAAGTCCATTTATGTTCGAATTGAGATATTGCAGAGTTTGCGTTGGATTAAATTTAAAAATATGGGTAACAGATAACATAGTAGAATAATGTTTTTGGGTTTCTAAGGGTGTCAAATGTATAATCCCAATTAGCATAGTTAACATTATTTAAGAAATAACATGTTGATGGCTATAAATGGACTTACGTCACTTTCAAAATCAATGAAATGACATTTTCGATTCTTAAGATAGCACAAGTCCATAGGAAAAGTAAATTTTCCTGGAAATGAATATAAATGTATACACTTTTACGTTATAAAATAAAAAAAAAATTCACCATCTATTCTTTGTTAAATAATTTTTACGTTAAAATTAATATTGTTTTATTAATTATTATACAGTCTTCTTCAGTTTGTGTATGCGGGAGGGATTTAAAATAACTATGGTGTGTAGGTGGTATATAATGTAATAAATCCATTAAGTCCTTGTATTTTAGGTTTGTTAGTGGCCTCGTTTTTTTGTATAGTGGTGCCACTTGATATTATTAAAGTTTTTCGGTCTTCCCGTGGCAGTGATAAATCCGATGTTTTGAATGGTGCATCCTCGTTCGTTGTCGTTTTGTAGAATAACTTATATGGATCGCTTCTGAAAAATCTCATATGTTTTAGTTATTTCGTGTCATTTTTGCAATCTTGTTTATACAGAAGCATACGCCGCTGAATAACGGAACTTTGTTAAAAGTCATTTAATACTTCTGCACGAGTGAATACGTAATCGTAACGTAAATGAACACGTAATCGTATAATTTAAAAGTTAATGAAAAGCTGTATGAAATCCTTATCGTATACATGGCCCTAAAAATTCTGCCAGGATTTCATTAGAATTCACTCCATCTGATTACGTGCAGCTCTAAAAAAAGAAAGAGACACTACCGCCGTTACGAGTTATACCGTCGGTAACGTCTAGGGTAATTCGGTACCATACAAGTGTGGCGACGTTACCGACGGCATATATCAGTACCCGCAGCCTATGCAGATGGCGCTGCAACTATTAGGGCCCCTTTTTTATCGACACCATCCCAGACCCAGGGGCCGATTCGGAGTTGCTTATCGCCTTTCACATCACCTTAAGCAATGTTGATTGGTTTTTCATCCTCGTTGCGTTGTGGCGCCGCTCTATGTGCGACACTCAACCCGCTCAGTCAAAAGGTTTGTTCGTTTTGCCTACACTTTCTACACTTTTACGAAAAGTGTACAGCCTGGCGTTCGTTTTGACGGAAGTGACGTAGCGTTGCTGTTCGTTTTGCGAGGGCATCTACCCCGAGTGTACACTTTCTCTACACTTTTTACCCTCGATCCCGAGCGAGTGCAAGAAGGGTAGCCCGTGAATTCGGCGGCAAATTTCAAAATTGAAAAGACCAACAAACAGGAACATACAAAATTTATGCTAACATCTCAACGTAATATAAACAGAAGTAATTATTAATGCATCTTCTTCATGTATAGAACGATTTAGCGTTAGTTTTGTACATAATGTTTGAAACAATTTACAATTATTATGTATTACTACGTAACCGCGGTTCGAATGAACTAAACTATAATTTTTCCCTGTTATAGTTAAATTGTTTTTCATTCTACTGCAATAATATTCTGATCCTTATTGATCCTCAATACCTGAAATTCGTGAAAAGAATTTTCATCTTCTACAATTACAAGGTAATAGAACGAATTGTAGGATTTGAAGAAAACGAAGACAGCTCAAGAAGGAAGGCTGGAAGAAGCATTACATTTTCGTATTGATCATCGACCGGTACACATAACCTCAAAATCGCGTACCTCTTTACTAAATCGGTCATCTTGGACTTTCGTGAGGTTTCTGACGTTCGGGCGTCGACGAAAGTGTATCTACACTTCTGCACTTTTCAAGAAACGTGTAGTACCCTCGTTACCCTCGAGTGTAAAAAGTGCAGTCAACGCGAACAAACCTAAAGTCTGACTCTGCGTTACGTGCGCGCGCATGCTCGGCGCTCAACTAGAGTTCTAAATCCAGTAAGTTACGTCAGAAACGAAGAGAAATTCCCGGTAACTTATCGGTAATTTCTCCAAACCCTATTTTATCAAGAAATTATGAGAATTTGAATTTTTCAACAGAGCGAACGAGAGGTTTCGATTACCTATAGAGAAACATCGTAGAGAGGAATTTCCGTTGTACGTTCTCCGTAGCCAATCAAAACCTCCCATTCGCTTCGTCGCAGAATTAAATATCAGTTCGTTTGAAACAAATCGCATGGAATTTTCCGTGAAGTTGTACATACGTAAATATTTTTAGCTGGAGGTAAATACGACCCTATAATCAATATTTTCTAATAGTAATTATTACTCTTTAGCTTGAACTTAGAAGTTGATTGAAAAAAAAAAAGTTATTTAAACGAAGAAACCTAAAGTATAAATAACAAAATTAACGTTCTCTTAAATTCTTAATGTTCCCGGTAACTTACGGTATGTTTCACAGTTACCTTCTCCAATTTAATGTTACCGAGAATTTTCGAACTCTACGCTCAACTCGACAGAGAATCCATAAATAAACATCGCAGCGGATCTGAACCCGGTTGAAAGACCGGCGGATTGAGAGATTACGAGGTTATCGATACCAGAGGGCGTTCGATCGAACACGCGGGAAGGGAAATTACGAAAGCGTGAAACCTCGTAACCTCGAAGGTCCCGATAATTCGTCGTTCCATTCAGTAAGCGTTCAGCAGCCTTCGCAGTTCGTTTCACTCCGTCGCTAGTTTTCGATCTTACACGTAATCCGTCCATATCAGAAGTGTGCCATATATTTTGCTATGAAGCTTCGAAAGTGTAAGTGCGATAGAGATGCATGCGCGGGAAAAATGTGGAACTTTTTCAAATGAAACTAGACAGAACTAGCGTTATGCACTAAGAAAACAGTTTATTCCATCCAACACAGAAATATATTTAAACAGATTTTATTCAAGCAAAACAATTATTTGTATCATTCGACAAAACGTTTATTTGATTTCAGTAAAGGACAAATTTTCATGTTCTTAAGTGAAATACATTATTTGTTTGACGTACCTGTCCTAATTTAAACCAATAATTTCTTTTAACGATTGCGAACTATATCGATTAACTTGTTCAACTGTCTCGTATTTAAATTAAAAAAAAAAATTATTCGATTTCAACAATGCTTGTTTAAACAAACATTGTAAGAGAAGAACATTTATTGAATTCCAATGAAGCAAATTATTTGATTACATCTAACAAATATGGTCGATCGACAAATATGTTTGATTGACATATATGCTTGTTCGACTATATAACAAAAAAAAATATGTTTCATTCGCACATATTTGTTTTCAATTAAACAAATCGTTTTCTCAGTGTATATTAACCGAATTAATTAACTAATGCCTGGTTCCACCAACCTCGGTTAAATCATAGATAACCTAACCGTAGGTTGAAGTTAACGTCAAAGTTAATCATCGATTAAAAACGTAAATGTTGCATTACATTTATTTAGAGCGTGATTAACTAATCGTATACACCATTTGAAGTAAGTTTAATTGTGCCCATAATTATGAAAGTGGTCTAAGTCATGTATTTCTTGTTTCGAGATATTTAATGAATTGCATTTGAATAAATTAAAAAATATTTTTATATTATGCAACATTTTAATTTCGAGTTTTATTAGTTTTGATTAATGGAAATTTATTATGAATATGAAATTTTGGGTGAATTTCATAGGAAAATGTTGTTTTTAGAGTGTGAATTGACTTAGACCATTTTCAAAATTAACTGAATGTCCTGTAAATGACAAAGCAATAAAAAACTACGAGTTTTATTAGAAACGATAATTTTAATGAAATAATTCATGAACATTTATTAATTATTTTTCAAAATAAATCCATTTTTATCATGTTAGGCTTTCATCATTATGAGTTTTTAAGGTTTTTTCAAATGTTCCTGAAAAACTGGAGAGATGTAAACATAATATCTTTGTTTTTCTTCCGTTACTAGTCTAGTGGTGGGGTATAATGGAAGTAATTTAATATTTCCGTATATTTTTGGTCTTCCTCTTTTAGGCGAAAGATTCAAAACGTGGAATTTAGAATCATCTAAAGAAGTATTACGTGGTCGTATAATATCTGCAAATCACATCATATCCGAATAGTAATTAACATATTCACATAATATGTACGTTGTCATTAACTTACCTGAACCGCTATCCGCGGACATAGTGGTAAAATATATAAATTATTTTTCCGTCAATAATTAGTTCGGAAGAGCCCAACTGTATTAGTGCACTTTCAAAATAGAACAAAATGAATTCCATGTATTGTTAGGTAGACCGGAAAGTATTGTCGTTTCTGTTACCGTTTGATTGTCATTTGTCGGCTTATCGTGTAGTTCAAAAACGCGCCAAAGAGGGCCACGTGCCATTTTAAGGTTATGATTATATAATTTCTTTAAATTTTTGACGTAGACCACTTTCATAATTAACACTAAATGAATTCCATATAATGTTGAAATTACAACCACTCTCTAATGGTTCATGTTTGACAATATCGTAAAAATGACATTGAATTAATTTAGCTTAAGATAATGTGGGGTGAAATACCTGATAAACTCATTTTTTTTTTTAATTTGGACTTAGACCACTTTCATAATTATGGGCTCAATTGTCGGTGAACGTGTTCGCGTGATTGGCTGATACTCCGATCGACTAGAAAGCAAGATAGATGCGTCCTTGTCGAGACACGAAGTTTCACTAGTTTCATGCAACAAGTTATCTCACAGTTGCTAGCCTCAAGAAATAAAGTTCTTTGTTTAACACTAGATCGCCGGATGTTGGGTATACACCTATTTTGCCTGAAATTATTCAATTTAACTCAAACATCAAAATTGAGTTTTAAAAAAAATAAAATGTTATTTTAATGAAACTTTGTTCAAAACAATTCTTACATATATATTCTGGAAGCACTCTTTACGGTACCAAGTATAATATTTCTTTTGGAGTAGGAAGTTGGCCCTGAGATGTCTTTGAATTTGGTATGACCGAGAAATCTACCAGTATTTTTACCGTCTTTCAATTTTTCCCATAATGTCCCATCAGCAGCCCTTTGTGTTGAAATTTCTTCATTATCGGATCTATCTGCAGGGTCTAATTCGCTTTCGGTTTCAAAATCAGGAATATATCGTACTCTTTTTTTGCCAAGAGTGATATAACGATCACCATCACTAGCACTTGATTCACTTTTAGATAGAACACAAGCTCTTCTTTTTCTAGTTGTATAATGAAGATCTTCATCTTCACTGCTCGAAAATTCAATCCTATTAGCTTGATTCTCTATTTCATATAGTTCAGTATCAGATGCACCGGATTCGATATCTGACTGTTTTCCTCTTATTTGGGTCAGTTTTTTTCACAATTCAAGATCTCTTACATTTCTTGTCATAATAGCAACCCTTATCTAGAACTAAAATATGTTTTTACATTTACGTAAATACATCTTATAAATAAATTCTGAAATTACCTTGGTACGCAAAAATTCTTCAAAAATAATTTATAAAATTTATTTTTTTTTGTGTTACTAAAAATGCATTATTCTCTCCGATGCCATAAATCGAAATGGAAGAACACAAAGAATTTTTTATCAGAGCTTTCATAAAAGCCTTCAACAAAAAAAACTTGCAACAAATATTGCAATAGATATCTAACTAGTAAAGTGACAAGTTTAAACATGAATACTATCGAATCGGATTGTTTACAAAAAATTTCTATTGACAAGAAATAAGTTACATGTGTGTAAAACGACCAACTTTAAAAATATTTAATCAGTCAATTTGACTCACATCTGTCAATATAGGTATAGCACATATGGATTTTTGGAACTAAGGAGTGGGGAGAGGAAGGAATTAGCATTTGTATACATTTCATAATTGTATTAAAAACCAACATATGTTTTAAAAATAAATTATTTAAGTTTTTCTATATATATAGCAATAAAATCGTAAATGAGTCAATTTGACAACAAATAATTTCACAATATTGAATGTGCAAGTTTGCAATAGATATCTAACTAGTAAATTGACAAGTTTAAACATGAAAACTATCGAATCGGATTGTTTACAAAAAATTTCTGTGGACAAGAAATAAGTTACATGTGTGTAAAACGACCAAATTTAAAAATATTTAATAAGTCAATTTGACTCACATCTGTCAATATAGGTATAGCACATATGGATTTTTGGGACTAAGGAGTGGGGAGAGGAAGGAATTAGCATTTGTATACATTTCATAATTATATTAAAAACNATAAAATCAAAAACATCTTCATCCGTTTCTTCATGAGATGTTAATACATACTCAATAGAATCCATGTTTTCCACACGTTTGTGCAGTTTCTAAATTGGAGTTCGATTAACTGAAGCTAAAGATCGAATGTGGCTGGTTAATTTAAACGGCGGTTAATGGAAATTAATTCGCCGTTAAAATGTGGTGCAACTCATTGTAACTGAGGATTAACATTTTGGCCGAGGTTGGTGGAACCAGGCATTAAAGATGGTTTAGGTTTTATCGCTTGAAAAATTCATGGAAAATTGGTAACATTATTTTATATACCGAATGTCTTTGTTACAATTGCTACCAATACAGGGTGTAAAGAAAAAAGAATGTTTAGAAGTGTTTTGTACATTCACTTGGGGTTACACCTTTTTGTGAAATTATTTATAATCTGGTGGCCGTTTTAAGCCATCTTTTATACGCCATCTCCTCCAATCAAATGAGCTGTTTATTTTGAAAGTGGCCTAAGTCCATTTATACTTAAATTGAGATATTTAAGGGTTTGTGTTTCAATGCAATTAAAAATATACGTACAGGATACCAATGAATCATACCGCTTAAGTGTATCTAAAGGAGTTAAATTTACAGTTCCTATCGAAATAATGGCAATTATTAAGTGAATAACATGCGTTTTCTTACCAAGAATGAAGTTAAGCCACTTTTAAAATTAACAACCAGATTCATTATAAAATTTGAAAGAGCCCAAGTCCATTCGACATAATTTAAAATGCTTCAAATTGAAAAAAAAACAATACTCAAGTTATTTTATATATCTTTACAACACTTCAAAAATAATATTTATGCAATTCAGAACATTTTTTAACTACATAAATTACAAAACAATTTACTGCTCTTCTACATTTTGGGTATGTGAAACAGATTTGAAGAAGTCATGATGTTCCGGTGGTATATATAGTAGTAGGTCCATTATGTCCTTGAATTTCGCTGTTGTAATTTGTCTTATATTTTTCACTTTTAAAATTAACGACCAGATTCATTATAAAATTTGAAAGAGCCCAGGTCCATTCGACATAATTTAAAATGCTTCAAATTGAAAAAAACAATACTCAAATTATTTTATATATCTTTACAACACTTCAAAAATAATATTTATGCAATTCAGAACATTTTTTAACTACATAAATTACAAAACAATTTACTGCTCATCTACATTTTGGGTATGTGAAAGAGATTTGAAGAAGTCATGATGTTCCGGTGGTATATATAGTAGTAGGTCCATTATGTCCTTGAATTTCGCTGTTGTAATTTGTCTTATATTTTTATAAAGTGGTGTCAATACAATATTTTCGAAATTTCTTGGTCTACCCCGACGTGGTAATAAATCCGGGACTTTAATATTTTCATTCTCATTCATTGATGTCTTATAGAAAATTTTATATGGTTCATTTCTGACAAAACGCATCCAACATATTTTTAACCAGTTTATCGATTCTCCGTTAGAATTCTTTACCCTTTTAAAAATTGCATCTTCTAATAATTTTGTTGATACAAAATCCTCTCGTTTCATTTCATTTAGAATAAAGTTATTGCCGCTCCGGCAATTTTTGATAATATTATAATAATCTTGGGGGACAAGCGGTAAATTATTTTTTTTTAATGACATTTCTCTCACGCCAAAATCTCTATCATTTGGTAAAAACGAATGTCCTGATATTAAAAATGTATGATCTATGATTTCCACATTATTTTCAACAGTTTGGACAATTTTTAGCCACATTAAAGCTACTTTCATGTTTCTATTTTGTCCTGCACACATGTCAGTGTAAGTTATAATGTATCTTTCACTTCTTAAATTTTTAACATGTTTTAGGATGCATGTACCTATTTCTTGAGCACCTCTTGATGCAGTAGTTTCATCCCAAACGTACATGTGAACATTATCATTATGAAAATTGTGAATATCCAAATTTATAACGTACATATAGATTGGACTTAGGCCACTTTCAAAATGATGGTTTCAATTGTTGAACTAACTCTGGAAACTTATGTGTCCAAAATTATCGTATTTACTCGGAATATAATTAACCTCAAATGCTTTATTGATAGATAACTTCAAGTTGTACGTGTAACTACGGGCAACCGAAAATAATTGACAAATGGACTTAGGCCACTTTCAAAATAAACGGCTCAAATTTCTTCCAGCATAAATAGAACTTGCAACAATTTTGAGTAATCATATCGAATTTCTGTTTAATAATTAGGTTTTCGATGGGGTCAATTACGACGAATTCATACAGGGAAATTGGGGAATTTGCCGACATGCGAATACACACCTTCCAACTACGACGTAAGATTATCTTTTTCTTTCCTCGAAGTAGCACGTTTCGTTGCTACCAATTATATTATGTTATATTATATTATAATATCGTAATATATGAACACCCTGTAAATATTTCATAATAGTGTTAATTTCCTACTAACGGCTAGGAGATTGTTATTAAATCGTCAGTCTTTTGTCAGCTGAGAGGAAAAGAGTTTGTAAACAGAACAACTTGACTCTGTTAAAGCCATTGTTGTAAAAGGAACGTAATTTAAAAAAAAAAATGAAATTTCATGGGTATTAGGACCTTAGGGTCTCTACATTTTTCTCTAGTAGCACAGAATAATTTCTAAATATTTTTTTCTAATCTTCGCTAAATATCTCAAACAATACATTTTTTACGGTGTCTTGTAGATTTCATTTGAATATATCTAAAACATTTTAGATTTCATTTTAAAATATCTAAAATATTTAATGAAAATATCAATGAAATTTAATGTTAATACATACTCAATAGAATCCATGTTTTCCACACGTTTGTGCAGTTTCTAAATTGGAGTTCGATTAACTGAAGCTAAAGATCGAATGTGGCTGGTTAATTTAAACGGCGGTTAATGGAAATTAATTCGCCGTTAAAATGTGGTGCAACTCATTGTAACTGAGGATTAACATTTTGGCCGAGGTTGGTGGAACCAGGCATTAAAGATGGTTTNTGGCGGCATCCAGTGTCGTGTTACCAAACCTCCTTATAGCACTGACTACTAATATAATTATATTAATTATATTAATTATATTAGCAGTCAGTGCTGACAGTACATGTACGTCGTGTATTATTTCAGCTATTTCATTACCAGAACGACTTTGCACCTTTTTGTTACATACACCAACAACTTTTATAGATGATATATTGTTAGACAAATATTCGTAACAGTATGTAACGTCTGAAAAAAAACACTCACATGTTCATACTAACTTAATTATTTATTTATTATTAGTTTTTTGGTCTATATTAAGAAGATAGAATACATTAGATTAAGGTTAAGTATACATTTCGAAATAACATACTCTTCTGTAACATTTTATGCACTTCTGCACTCTCTACTACATCGTACCGAAGACCGTTTAGTTCATACATTTCACTGTAATAATCGATTTCATTTGACATCCTTGCTTCTTTAACTTGAATCTAGACGTTTTGAGTTTGAATTTGATCTACGCAACACGTTGAGTGTAGGTAGCGTAGAAAATTTGTGATACATAAAATGGCGTCTGATCAGTAAACATGTTGAGTAATCGTACCCATTCAGCAGATGAGCGCTATCCGATCACTAAACAGTTTTCTCCTCTGAATGCACCCATTAACTAACTTCATACAATGTCCGTAAAATGAAGTCATGGAACTATGTTGTAGATCTTGTTAAATTTTCCATAAATTTTCAGTTCATTAATGTCGACTATGGGATAACTGGCTTGTGACTTGAGTATGCAGTAAATATATTGCTACAACCATTTATCACAAATTTACAGCAAATTTCTGTTATAATTTATTGTGTAATATGCGTACATATTTTGCAGATATTTCATGCAGCAAATAATCTGGAAATTGTTTATAAATCGATTTACCTCATCACATCATGTTCATGAATTTCTATCTGGGACCCTATGTACGCATATTAAACAATTAATTTCAACAAAAATTTGCGGTAAATTGGTTATAAATGGATGTAGCATATAAATTAACAGCATATCAATTATCGTTTTTCGTAGAAAACGGGCATAAAAAATAGTCAACTGTCGCAATTAATTAATCACGCAGTAATTCATCATAATTACTATCCTGACATGTGACTTTACTGTCTTTTACGTATGCATTTTATAACCATAATTTTGGTTAATTAATATTTTACATATATTTATTAATTATTTAGTTAAAATGGGGAGGGTGTATGTAATGGGGGAGGAAAGAAAAGAATGGAGAGTCACGATATGATGTAAATATGACGTTACTGAATGTTCCAGTTACGACTTTTGTGACAAATTTATCGCAAAATTTTTCTTCAAATTTCTTTATCTTTTTCTTGAGACTAGGCAAATTCAACCCTCGATTATTGTATCACTCTTCTTATGTATATGGTTAAAAGGAAAGTAGGAGTTGTTTGCACATTTGATTTTCAGGGCACTGATTACGAAATTGCAAAAGAGTCTCGCACCAAAAATTCGATTCCATCCGTAAAGTTACTTTACAAGACTCCATTGATGATACACGAAGGAAGAGGTCAATGGTTGTTCGACCATAATGGCCAGCGATATCTCGACATGTTTGGGGGAATTGCCACAGTCTCCATTGGACATTCCCACCCGTAATTACTACGTTTACCTTTGTAATTTTACAACACTACGACTTGAACATTTTTGGATCTTTCCCAGCGAAATTACACTCAGAGAAAAAGAGCTGGTAAACAGAATAATTTGGCACCATTAAGGTGAAGTAAAACATGACGAGGAATTTGATCGACGTCGATAAAGAAGATTTTTCTAAATGCCTACGTTGCCGACGTTCGTTTTTCTATTGACAGCTGTGTCGAATTATATTCCGTATTGTACCAAATGGCATACTCTACCTATCGTTTTCGTACAATAATTATAAAGAAGTCGAAGTAAAACTCCAGAAAATCCTCTGGATTCATGCTTTCTGGGGCCCTAATTGACTGCAAAGGGACCCCCTGCGCCATCTGTGATTTCCAGGTCAATTAAATTTTCACTCCGAGACCTCGTATTACCATCGTTTTAGCATAGGAGCGCATACAATACTTTATTTGCGTTTATCCCGTTCAAACGCGAGTTTATCGACTACTAGAGTGTTCTAAATTGTCGTAAAATTGTCCTGACCCTTTCGATTCTCATATCAGAGCCTTCGATAATTATACATTGATCGAAATATGAGAGCTCGACGCCATTTTAGTTCTGGTCTAGGCTGAGTTAAAAAATTTTGTTAAAAAATCCAAATTTTGAATGTGTCAGGACAATTCTTAGCTGATCAGGAGTGACGTGTCAAAGTTTCGGACAGTTTGGACTAATATCCTTAAAAAAAGTGTTGTATTAGTATCGACTGATTTGAAGGGGGTTTCACTTCACCTTAATAACTAACAGGAGCACAGCCAAATGGAAGGCAGAGTGGAAAGGACGCCGTAGCGTTCTCGCCGCTATGCCTTCCGTTTGGGAATGCTATTGATTGGCTGTGCTTCAATTAGTTAAGGTGAAGTGAAACCCCCTCTGAATCAGTTAATTCGAATAAGACACTTTTTTTAAAGGTATTGGATAGAGCCGTCTGAAACTTTGACACAGACTCGTGAGTACCTAGGAATTATCCTGACACTTTCAAAATTTGGATTTTTAAAGAAAATTTTTTAATTTAGCCCAGACCAGAACCAAAATGGCGTCCAGGTCTTATATTTCGACCCGTATTCAATTATTGAAGGCTCTAATATGGGAAACGAAAGGGTCATGACAATTTTACGACAATTTAGAACACTCTGATAATTGTGGAACTTGCATTTGAACGGGATTGAGGTTAAAAAAGTGCCTTATGCGCTAAAACCATGCTAGAGCGAAGTCTAGGAGTGAAAATATAGTGTGCTTGGGAATCACAGATGGCGCAGAGGGTTAATCTACAGTCAATTAGGACCTCAGAAACCATGGATCCAGGGGATTTCTGTTTTACTTCGATTTCTTTATAATTATTGTACGAAAACAACAGATGCTGTATGCCATTTAGGACAATACCCAATATAATTCGACACAGCTGTCAATATAATAACGAATGTCGGCAACGTAGGTATTTAAGAAAACCTTTTTTACCGACGTTGATCAAGTTCCTCGATGTGTTTCACTTCACCTTAATACAGGAAGTTTATGCACTGTAGGAGAAAATAGTACAGGACTTTTCGACTGCTTTTTCATCAAGAATAGCGTTATATAAACCGTGACTACCAGTTCTGTTACACCCTGTATATCCATGAACGAGATAATGATAAATTGCGTTGCTTTAATAAAAATGGCTTTAACAGGGTCAAATTGTTCAATTTACCAGCTCTTTTTCTTTTAGTGAAGCGGCTGGCTCTTTGAAATTTCATAAATGAACTTATCGTTTCCGATTGTCACGCGGAATAATTTTCCAGGAGATCCGTAAATGTTTACGTGTGCGTTTAAATTTACATTACTTTAAATTTATACAGAAAAGTGACGTCAGCCATTGCCGAGCAAGCGAAGCGATTGACTCACACATCGATGCTGTATATGCACCCACGATTACACGAATACACGGAAAAATTAAGAAACAAGTTGCCAAAAAATTTGGATGTGGTTTATTTGGTGAACAGTGGCTCGGAAGCCACAGAACTTGCCTTTTTGTTGGCACGACTGTATACAGGCTCGCAAGATATTGTTTCCTTGGGAAATTGTTATCATGGCGGAAGTTACGCGTCATCCGCATCCACTGCTTCTTCTGCATGGAGATATCCAATTTCATCACCTCCAGGTCATATTCACGTAAGTTGAAAATTTCACTGAAGCGTTTTAAGGTGAAGTGAAACACCTCTCAAATCAATCGATTCGAATAAGACACTTTTTTCTGAGTATATTGGATCGAACTGTCTGAAACTTTGACTCATGATTCGTGTTCACCTAAGAATTGTCCTAACACTTTCAAAATTAGGATTTTCTTAAAAAAACTTGGTTGACAGCGTAGACCAAAACCTTAGCACACGCAGAAGAATAATATTGTAATCACATTACATATGCTCGCGGGTAAAAGTATCGTTGTAACCTTAACAACAATTATTGCAGACGTAATTAAAATTTATTGTCCTTTTAACCATTGCGGCTGTAGCAGCAACTGCAGAACTCTTGTAAATGAGTTGTAGTTATATTTGCATTTGTCAGCGGTACATGTATAACATTGGAAAGTAAAAATGGCACGTGTAAAGGCACGGGTAAAAATGACCATCACAGTTGTAAAATATAAAAACAAGAACTCTATTGAAAACCGTATAATATACCGTAGCACTAGTAATTTTTACAAGCATGAACTGTTATTGTTCCTATTGTGAGTTTAATACACAGCGCAAGAAGCATTCGGGTCGTGAGATGCATTAGGTTGCGCAGTCCTGCGAACCGTTAGATTCATTGTGACTTCGGTAGCCGCATCATTCGGTCCTCTTCGAAATTCGGTTTTCGATCTAATTTAAGATCGAGTTTTACTTTTTCAATTCATTGTAATAGTTTGATTAAGTGACTACATGGATGACTTTGTAAAAAATGAACTTCAGGAGTCGAGGTTAGAAAACCTACAACAATCGTTCCAAGGTAAGCTTTACATGAAACAAATATTTACCGTTTTCAATGTATTGTATCTGTAGTGATTTCCCGAGTTCCCGACAGGAAAGGATACCGTTTACAATGATACTTTCTACATGCAGCAACGGCGACATATATGTACGTTTGTCAATGGTAGTTTTTACATGAGCTGACTGTAATATACACATGTCGCTATTGTATTTTCTAGCTACCCCAACGGTAATAAATGCGGTGCTGCGTGTTACTTTCTACATGTATCAACGGTAAAGGATACACCAGCGAACGTTATCATATACACACGTTATGTGGTAACTATTGCTTCAGTTCACGAGTTTATACTGTCACGATTGTAAATATAACTGTCGTATTGTTGTAACTGTAATAATTCTTTGTAATGATGTGTACTATAATGGAATTGTATATTTGACGTTTTTAGCAGCGTAATCATTACTTTGTAAACCAGCTGTCCTTATATTTACCAGCGATTGCTGTTATATCTATCCCAACTGTAGTAATTGTAACAACTTTTTTCTCTCCGTGCACTGTTCGGCTGTCTGCAGAGTAGCAGCCTCACAGGCGTCTTCCCGCTATGTCTCCTGTTGGGGCAGTGCTGCCAGATGTACGGGTTTCTCAGTAGAACTATGGATTTTTCAATATATAAAAAAAATACGGATTGTTGTACGGATTTCGAAATTCTTACGGATTGTTTACGTATTTTGATTATGATTTAAATCTATATGAAGGTATAATTACTGTCTCCACTGTCGGTATTTATTAAATATCAGATTGGACAAGATCGGCTTTCGGTGCGTCTACACCACCTAGTTAGTTCGGTATTAGATTAAACCAGGGTGTGGAAACGTACCTACAGTCAAATTAATCCTATCCGGTATTAGATAAATACCGGCGGTGGAGACTTAGTAAATATATGATTCCTACATGCAAATCCTATGCAGAACTTCATTAGTTTCGCTTATGATGGATCCAATGTCACCATTGGAATCGACCAATCAAATTCTGCACAGGATCTATATGCGGAAGACATTGAGACCAATTTTCACAACTTGAGTTAATTAACCAGACCAAATCACCCTTATTAGTTTATTAGCAAACCTGTCATAACTCACGATCCAAGCCTAAACAGTTTTTTAACTTCGGATTTACTGGGTTTGTATTCGATAAATCTCGAATTTAGGAGTACGTTGGTGACGTAGTAATTGTTTGCCATAAGAAAGGACTGGATAGAGCTAAAAAAATCACCCTTATTAGTTTATTAGCAAACCCGTCATAACTCACAATCCAAGCCTAAACAGTTTTTTAACTTCGGATTTACTGGGTTTGTATTCGATAAATCTCGGATTTAGGAGTACGTTGGTGACGTAGTCATTGTTTGCCATAAGAAAGGACTGGATAGAGCTGAAACGATTGCAGCGCCACTATGGGGTAGGCTCGGTATTAACAAGGAAACATACGCAAATGTCCACCGCCGATCTTATTGATTTTCGTACATGTTGAAGAACACAAAAATCTAAGAGACCCGTGTTTTTTTTTGTTGTCTGCAATGGTCCACATTTAAGGAATGAAACAATCCCCCAAAATTTGGCGATAATTCAATTTTTATATTAATTTTCGTAGAAGCAGCGAAGGGATTTCGACGAAACTTGGCATAAATGTATTCTATGTAAGGACGGTGAAAACACAATATTATCCAGAAATGCTACACTACCTCAAGGGGGTGAACTACCCTTCAGGCGAAATTTTTTTGTAATATCTATTAAACAAGCACTCCTACTTAAGTTCCATTTACGCCATGTGATTGCTTACGAAAAATGAGGAAATACGTGTTTTTTGCTTTTTGCCAATAAACATTTATACATCGGTTGAAAACNTAATTATAAAGAAGTCGAAGTAAAACTCCAGAAAATCCTCTGGATTCATGCTTTCTGGGGCCCTAATTGACTGCAAAGGGACCCCCTGCGCCATCTGTGATTTCCAGGTCAATTATAGGAATTATATTTTTTAATTTATGAACAAATAAAAAATACATTTTTTACATCACGATTATTATCGGACACTTCATTTGGCATAAAAAAACACGACAAATTTTTGCTATATTTTCATTCCGCTATGTTATTGTGGGATCAAAACGTGTGATTTTGATTTTAAATATTTTTAACACGTTTATAATGCATTCGGCAGATATTTAAAAAATACTTATATTAAAATGAATCAAAACGTTTTGTATATCTATAAGAAAAATATGAGGAAAACACGTGGAGCTAGTATTATACAAATATTATAAAAATAATATTCTAAAGTGAATGTTTTGTAAATATTTCAAATGCCTACTAAATATTTACAAAATGTACGGTATTCATTAAATATATGCAAAATATAAGACAAATATTTTGTGCTACTAGTGATGTAATTAAATTTCAAACAATTCGGTACATTGAGTTTGCAGAAAACATTTATGAATGATTAACTCCTCAGGTGCCACTATCACATCTCTTTAAATGTTACCAAATAATTTGTAACGATTACATTGTTGTTACTGAAATATCCCAGATAGACAAAGTGATGCAAAATTGATATCCAATTTGCCTCATAAATGATCATGAAATGTGTCATGAGGGTGTTGTTTATGAGTCCTCATTTGGAACTCATACCCTAGTAGCATAGAATAATTTCTAAATATTTCTTTGTAATCTTTGCTAAATATCTTTAACGACAGAGTTTTTAAGATGTCTTGTAGATTTCATTCGAAGATATCTGAAATATTTATTGAAAATCTCAATGACGTATTTAGTTTTAATAAT